CGGAAGAACTCCACAGTTAAGCGTGCTTGACTTGGAGCAATTCAGGGATGGGTGACCTCCTGGGAAGTTTTCTCGGAAAGTGTGCAAGTGAGGAAAAAGCACACTGAAAAGTCTCGTGTTAGTATGTGAGAATAGTCGTTGATGCTTGAAGCGGCCGGGCGTTACACCAATAAAGCGAACTAAAAACAATTATAATCATAAATAATGTCTCTAAAATAGCAGCCTAGTCATCATTCAGACATAATTCTTTCCTCTTCTTGTTGTTGTCCTTCATTATGAGCTGGAGTTGTTCCTGCATTTGCCTCATCATCTTCGCATGAAGATTTAGCTATTGTGTCATAGCATCCAGCTGCTCTGAATAACACTACAGATGCACCTTCAGCTAGGATGTCTTCTCCTTATGTTCAACGTCTATGTTGCGAACCAACACCTGCACCTTTTTAATATCATCTGCAAATACATCATTATAAAGTAAGTTTTTTGTACTTTATTTAAATGGACTAGGCAGTGAAAATGTAAAATAATTAATTGTGTGCTTTTACCCGCAAAATCACCTCTAACCTAGCTGGAAAGGCATTTACTAGGATTACGAGAAAATACTATTTCTCTTTTCTGAATTTTATTAACCAAATAACAATAGGGTTCTCCAAGCCTTAAATAGGCAAAACAAAACAAAATGAAAATCAAATCAAATAGAATCAAAATGAATTGTGCACAATCAAAGGAGATAACGCACAAGCAACGCACATTCAAATATAATCTAAGAAATAACAAAAAGGAAAATAACTAACAATTATTATAAAATCCTAAATTATGAAAAACCCAAAACTGTTGATGCCCATGGCAAAGCGATTAGTCTTGCTTAAAAGCCTATTTCGAGTTGTATATCCAAATTTGAGCCCAATCCAAGTCGGTCAACTTAGGTGTATCATGAATGATGCACTTATAGTTGGCCCATTACACATGGCCCAACTATTGATTCAAGAAGCTTAGAGTCAACCAGAATTATGGCCCAATAAGTATGATCCAATTGTTAAAAGAAGCAGTAATTTGAAATATAACAAATCAGGATCAAATCCAAGTTCAAATAAAGTAGTAGATATGATTGTGGTTTGTTTGGCAAGAAAAAGAAAGCAACACATTTGGCATGATTTGAGATCTAAGATATGGGACGTGTTTTGAATGATTTAATTGTAATTATTCATTTATTTGAGAAGTTAATTATCGTTATGTTTATTTTAGGTATTTTCTTCATTTTTAGGATTTTAGATTTTGAATTTTGGATCAATTTATAATTTGCTTATAAAAGGGTGCTTATGACCCTTATTATAGGAGTTGAATGTTGTTATTTGTTAATAGAAATTGAGAATCAGAGGGTTACTCTTTTATGAAATCCTTACTTTCTGTTTAGCCATTTTTCTCTGTGTTTTCGGCTTCATAATCCTTAAGTCCACTCATCTCATATGAACGAGCAAGTCTTATTGATTACTAGTGATAAGAATCACACATTTTTCGTATAGGCAAAAGTTTAAATATTAAGTAGCTATCATGGATTATGAAAGTTTTATGTATTTTTAATTCGTATTTATTCAATTATTTCTCTCCTCACAAAGCCATCGTGCACAACACATTCCTCTTGATTCACAGCCTTCGCCTGAGACACTACTTACGATCACTCTCAATTAAGTTTAGTCTTACACCTGGCACTCATAGATACCTATTACATTGATATACTATACCCATTTAAGAAAAATATATCCATCTTTAGCACCCAAACAATTGAGGTTTATATTAATTAAGTTGCTAATTTTGCTTAAGTTGTAGAAAAATACTTTCATTTTGTTCTCCTTTCCTTACATGTCCAAACTCGAAATCAATGTTATTAAACCTGGTCCAGTCATTGACACGATTGAGGTACTAGGTCATTAGATACTGGTTCAACCAGTGTGTTACTGATTTAGCCGCATGAGTTGGTAAGTGTATGCAAATTTATAATTTTATATTGAAAAAATTATAAACATACTCAAATACCTGTAAAAAATAATTCTAATTTCCAATATTTTAATGTGAAAAATAATAAATCACATATTATTATCTAAGATTGTATCAAACAAACATAGAATATTTGTGATACTAGTGCTTTAAGTTCAATAGATGACAAATTTAGCTATAACTAATATAATATTAGTGTTGGAAGTACATAACTTATGTAAATCAATAAGCAACAAATCACTCAAATATTTCAATGAAAAACAAATCATTTGTGAATTTAAAAAATGATATTCCTTATGAATTTTTTTTGGAAATAATTTTTTTTATGAACGGCACCGGTTGAACCGACGGGTCATCAATTTTTACCGAAATTGGCCGGGTTGCACCGATTCACATTGTTTCTAATGTTTGGCCGATCTGTTGCTTCACCTGGACCAATTATATAACTAGTTTACCAATACTACTCGAAACACATAGGATGAGTTACCTCCCACGAAACCCATCCAATGGAAATCTTCAATTACACATTGCGGTAATTCTTTTTCAAATATTGCGAGCTTTCGAAGGCCCCATCAGCATCATTATCAAGACCGCATCCCCCTCAACCACCCTCTTTGGTCTTCAAAAGCAAATGCTTCAATCTTTATCAACATTGCATCAACTCTGATTGGGATCTCCTTTTCTCCAATTTTTCTTATTTATTCTTTTACAATGAGGAGAGCATGACCAAAGCTTTATTAAAATTAATTAACATGAGTAGCCGTTCACTTTTATAAAAACTATGAGAACTAACTAAAGTTAAATTTAAACATAGATTATATCTCTGTTAGGACATATTATTTTTATACCAGTATAAGTTGATAGTACTTCATCTATGTTATATACTAACCCATTGAACCCTTGTTAATTTTTTTTTAAAAAAAATACTTAAACCTTCCAATTGTTTTCTTGCTTCGGTTACAGTGTTTATTGGTTTATTTGCCTCTATTCATCGGTTACATGCACGCTTCCTTCTCCCTGCCTTAGACTTAGGATATAGTGTATACCTATCTATTTTTTAAGAAAGAAATTAACTAGCAGCCTCTTCCCAAAAAAGATTACGAAAGCATATTCCGTAGAACAAATATAAATAATTAATTGAATCCTTAAGTATGCTAGATAAGGACGGCATTGAGAATGTAAGAAATAGAAAAGAGAACAATACAGATAAGAGTGGAACCGGGTTTGATTTATATTTCTTGAAACTTAAATATTTTATTTTTGGTGGTTAAAAGTTAAATGTTTTTATTAAATTTTGTTATTAGAAATTTCACATATTGATGCACCGGTTAACCATGAGTAAATTATTAATTAATGATGTATATCGATTTCCTGCAACTAGTACTGTAGATGTAAATAGGTCACGCCTAGCCTATTAGTCTGTGTAGACTCCAAATCACAAATATGGCATGACCTATATTTAACAAATAAAAGCCTTAGCCTAAGCCTGTTGGCCTGTTTAAGCTTATTTAACATTCAACAATTAAAAGAATAACTAAAATAATATTACTTTATTATTCAAAATTATTAAAATTAATTTTATTTAAAATAAATAATATTATTTAGGTCCTCTTGTAGGCTTATATGCCCGACATATATAAAAATGCCTATGACCTATTTTCTAAATAGATTTTTTAAAAAGCCTAGAACTGTTCTATTTTACTATTTGTATATGTCAAGTATTGCCTGATACAGGTTAGACCATAGGTCCCTGTAGGCCCGCCTAACTCATTTACACTCCTAACTATTAGTATATATGCTCCTAACTTATCTATAATATATATTATAGTTTGATAACCAATCAATACATATTGTTAATAGATAATTTACTCATTATTAATTGGGGTATAAAAATTGTAATATTTCAAGTCACTATAAGAAAAAACTGATTTGATAACGAATTTCAGAGACAAAATTATTTTGATCTGAATTAAACACAAAGCTCGAGATGAACGTTTTTATTTAGTGATAAAATAAAAATTTCAAATACAATAGATGAAATTTAGAGATGAAAAATGTTCATCACATATATAATTTGTCACTAATTCTGTCTCTATTTAGTCGGTTTGATATTCATAAAAGTTAAAAAGTTAAAAAGTTAAAAATGAAATTTAGAGGTAAAAATATTGAGAAAACAAGTGTGAGGGGTGAAATCTCACATTCATTAGAAATAAACTAAATCAAGATCATATAAATAAATGGACCCATAAATCTAACACCTTAACACGTTAAGTTAAGTACAATATCGAGCCCAACTAACCCATTTGATAGTCTTCATTGTTGCCTGGCTGCAATTATGGATCACTTTCCATTTTGCCCGCCTTATTCTCTATGAGTTTTTCTCTTTCTTCCTTTCTCTTTATATTCTCTTCCCTTTTTTTATTTTTATTTTTTATTTTTTATTTTTTTATTTTTTTTTGTAATACTCTTCCCTTATTTAAGTAACACAGATATATAACTTCTTCATAAATTTTCCATTTATAATTGCTATATATTATATTTAAGAGAGAGATTATATACTACTATATATTACTTATTTTTATTTTGTATTTTTCCTTCTTTTACTGTACTGTTATATTTGTATGATAACTAATTGTTAGTAAGGTGTGCATTCTGTTAGGCAACACATTTTTCTATTAGTGCGTCTTATTTCTTTTTGTTACAGCTTTAGCTAATATATAGCCTTATTGTATTCCTTTCCTCAATCAATGAATACAATGTGAATATTCAGTTTTCTGGGGAGTATCAGCTTCTTTCATAGCTAAGATGGTATCAGTAGTATCCTCGTAGTTCTTGCCATTTTCTATGGCTCGTGGCAACAATCGCCCACCCCCAATTGATTCCTATGCTGGCACTGCAGGGACGTCCGCCTCCATGGACGATTCCTCGAGTCCCTATTTTTTACAGAGCAGTGATCATCCTGGTCTGGTTTTGGTCTCCCATTCTCTTTCCTATTCCAATTTCAACTCATGGCATCGCGCGATGCTACTTGCTTTCACCGTAAAAACAAATTGGTGTTTGTCAATGGCACTCTCATTTGCCTTTCTCCCACTGACCTCTTGTTCTCTGTTTGGAACCGTTGTAATTCTATGGTTATTTCATGGATTCTAAATTTTGTTACCAAAGACATTGCTGATAGTCTCCTATATTTTTCCAATGCTTATGAAGTATGGTCCGATTTGAAAACCAGATACTCTCAGGCCAATGGTCCTAGAATCTTTCACCTCAAACAACAAATTTCATCTTTCTGTCAAGGTTCTTCAGATGTTAATGGCTACTACACCAAGCTGAAATCCCTTTGGAATGAACTACTGGATTACGTCCCCCTTCCTCTCTCTACATGTGGTGTTCTCCGTCCTATCAATACCCATAGGGACCAGGATCATATTCTCCAATTCCTCATTGTACTCAATGATTCCTACTCCTCTTTGCATGCTCAGATTTTGCTGATTGACCCACTACCACTGCTTGGTAAGGTCTTCTCTATAATACCACAGGAAGAGCGTCGACGTCAATCTATTTCTTTGCCTGGTTCTGCTGTTCCGGATTCCCCCTTTTTGAATTCTGTAACCACATCTTCTTCCTCATCTCTGCAGGTTGCTTCTTCCCCACCTACAGTGGTTGCAACCCAACGCCATTCCCATCTCGTTTGCACATACTGCCACCTTTCTTCCCATACTCGTGAGAAATGCTTCAAGCTCAACGGGTACCCTCTTGGCTACAAATCCAGACCACCTAGGCCTACTCCATTTCCTACCCTAGCGCAAATACAAGCTCAGGACCACTCTATACATTCAGACTCCCCTCAACCAACACATTTCTCCTTTACCACCCAACTATCGAACCCTAATTTCTCCCCCTCCGATCCTCCCCTTGCCTTCACTCCTTCTCAATACAACCAACTGCTATCGCTTCTCGACCAGAGTTCTGCTTCGTCTTCTCCGTCTGGTGTTTCTTCCGTCGTCGAGTCTCCTCATTCGGTAGCAAGCTTCAGTGTTAAGTCTTTCCTATCCTTTCCTCCTTCTTGCTCGATTTTGGATACTGGTGCTACGCACCATGTTTGCATCTAGCTTAATCTCTTTTACTCTTCATCTCCATCTACTTCCCTGGTCTCTTTTCCCAATGGTTCTTCTATTGTTGTTTCCTCTGTTGGTTCCCTTTTGATTTCTGATTCTCTTCTTTTCTTTAATGTTTTACACATTCCGTCTTTTTTCTTCAATCTTTTGTCCATCGGTGCCTTGTCCCGGGATTCCCCTGTTATTGCTAACCTCTCTTCTTTTCATTGTTCCCCACTACTTTGTTTGTCCATCAGTACCGATCTTTTTCCTGATGACAATGTTCCCCACTACTTTGTTTGTCCATTTTTGTTAAAGATGTTGTTCTCTGGCATTCCCGTTTAAGCCATCTCTCGCCTTCAGTTTTAAATTCTATGAAGAATATATTCGATTTTCCTGACTGTTTGCATAATGCTCATCATTGCTTTGTGTGTCCTTTGGCGAAACAAAAATGCCCCCCTTTATTTTAGACCCTAAACTCTCTTCTGCTCCTTTTAATCTTGTCCATTGTGACATTTAGGGACCCTTTAACACTCTCTCTGTTGAAGGTTCCAGTTATTTTCTCACCTTGGTTGATGACTCAACCAGGTTTACTTGGACTTACTTTCTGCGAAATAAGTCTGATTTCTCCACTGTATTTCCTGATTTTTTTACTCTAGTTTCTGCTCAGTATAAGGTCTCAATTAAATCACTCCGCTGTGACAATGCTCCTGAATTCAATTTGTTCCCTTTCTTTTCTTCTAAGGGAATTCAAATCTTTCATTCTGTGTCGATCGTCTCCAGCAGAATTATGTTGTTGAACAGAAGCACCAGCACCTCCTCAACATAGCCCGAGCCCTTCATTTTCCATCCAAAGTTCCTCTTCAATATTGGCAGGACTGTGTCCTTACAGCCGTTTACCTCATCAACAAAACACCTTCCCCTCTTCTTCATCCCAAAACTCCTTTTGAATTACTTTGTCAATAAGCCTCCATCTTATGCTCATCTTCGTGTTTTTGGCTGCCTTTGCCATAGCTCAACCCTCCCAAAGAGTCGACATAGATTTTCCCCACGTGCCTTACCTGAAATTTGTAAGAACCTGCACCGTTAATTTAGGAATTTAATTAAATAAATATAAGATTAATGAATAATTCCATAATAGACCCTAATACTTATGAGAAGTCTTAAATAATTATGGTAGTCAGAGTCAGAGTCAGAGTGAGGGTGCCAGTCATCTTACTGGGATGATGCAACCCTACCAAGAGCTTGTTGAGGACCGCGACGCGATTTACCGCCGGCTTAATGCTTTCCGCAAGCCTAAGCCACCCTCTTTTAATGGGTCGTATGATCCTATTGCTGCTGCGAGATGGCTCCAAGTGTTGGATAAGATCTTCAGAGTCATGCAGCGCACTGATCTGTAAAAGTTGATGTTTGCCACATATATGCTGGAGGGCGACGCTCATGAGTGGTGGATGAACACCTCTCACGCTTATGAGATGCAGGGTCATGTCATGACATGGCCATTCTTCGAGGATTGCTTTTTTGGCATATACTTTTCTTATGATGCTCAGGAGAGGAAGCAGGGAGAGTTCAACAGACTAGTGCAGGGCTCGATGTCAGTTGACGAGTACTTGGCCAAGTTCAATGAACTAGTCAAGTTTGCACATTTCAGGATCGCTATGCCTACTCCGACATTTTTGGATGCTAAGTTTCGGAGGAGACTTAATGAGGAGATTGCAGACAGGATTGCTGGTGCTGTGTCTAGAGACTTTGGTACACTGGTACAGCAGTGTAGGGACATTGAGGATGTCTGTATTGTGAGTAAGGCCAAAATGGCATAAGTGGCTAGGACTAAGGGAACTAGTGGTTCCACTTCCTGGAAGGACAGGAAGTTTGCGGGAAAAGGAAAGAGAAAGCAGTTGGTTGCTAGGCAGGTGCCTAGTCAATTCAAGAGGACTTCTACTTAGGGGAGTTCAGCTAGACCTCCTGCTCTCAAATGTTTGGGATGTGGGAAGTTCCATGTGGGGCCGTGTGCTACCGGCCAGTTGATCTGCTTTCAGTGTGTCCAGGCGGGCCACTATTCTAAGGATTGTCCGTCGTCGACTGCGAGAGCTGCAGCGGTTCAGGCAGTTCCACTTCATATGGTTTCACTTCCACCTACAGCGGCACCTGCAATGCCCCCTGCCACCAGCCGTGTTTACACCTTGGATCGTCAGCAGTCGGACCGAGCTTCGAACCTTGTCAGAGGTACTGTTTCCATTGGTGGGTCTACTGTTGATGTCTTGTTTGACTCTGGGGCTACGCATTCCTTTATTGCAACCCCGATTGCTGTGGGGCTTGAGTTGCCCAGTGATGTGCTTTCTCCACCGATGCAAGTGACTACCGCCACAAGAGAAAAGCGTGATACCTCCACTGTACATCGAGATGTCGTGTTTCAGTGGAATGGCCGTGAGTTTTTGGTGGATCTGATAAGATTGCTGATGGCTAACTTAGAAATCATCCTTGGCATGGATTGGTTGTCCAAGAATTGTGTTATGATTGATTGTTGTGTCAAGCGAGTGGTGATATCTCCGTGTGATTCCACAGCCAGTTCATTGCCATATATTTCAGTGCTTCAGGCTAGAAGAGCCTTGAGAGCAGGGGAATTTGGATATGTCATGTTGGGAGGTTTGGTGAGTGGGACCCAGAAGGATATCACTCGCATTCTTGTGGAGAAGGAATTCCTCGAAGTGTTTCCTGAGGAGATTCCTGAGTTCCTACCACAGCGGGAGATAGAGTTCTCCATAGATTTGTTGCCTGGTGTGGGGCCTATTTCATTAGCTCCATATCGGATGTCGCCACCAGAGTTGGCAGAGCTGAAGAAGCATATTGAGGATCTTTCGGCAAAAGACTTCATTCCACCGAGTGTGTCTCCATGGGGAGCACCGATCATCTTTGTGAAAAAGAAAGATGGGACTTTGCGATTGTGCACCGACTACAAGCAGTTGAACAAGGTGTCAATCAAGAACAAGTATCCCCTCCCTCGTATTGATGATTTGTTGGATCAACTCAGGGGTGCTTGTGTGTATTCGAAGATTGATCTCCGGCCCGGATACCATCAGATTCGGGTTAAGCCTGAGGATGTCCCAAATATCGCGTTTCGCTCGAGGTATGGTCACTATGAGTATTTGGTGATTCCTTTTGGACTCACCAGTGCACCCGCAATGTTCATGGATTACATGAACAAGATTTTCTAGCCGTACCTGGATCAGTTTGTGATCGTCTTCATCGATGATATTTTGATTTACTCCAAGACGGAGGAGGAGCATGCTGAGCACTTGAGGATTGTGTTGCAAGCGCTGAAAGAGAAAAAGCTTTATGCTAAGGCTTTGGAATGTATTTCTGGCTCAAGTCTGTGAAGTTCCTTGGGCATGTGATTTTTCCAGAGGGAGTTGCAGTGGATCCCAAAATTAAGGCCGTGTTGGATTGAGAGAGGCCCAAGACAGTTACGGAAGTGAGGAACTTCTTGGGTTTGGCTGGTTACTACCGGAGGTTCATTAAGGGATTCTCCACGATGGTTCTACCATTGACTCGTCTTTCCCGAAATGATACTATATTTGTGTGGACTCACGAGTGTGAGGAATGCTTTGAGGAGTTAAAGGAGATACTGACGACTGCACCTGTGTTGGTCCTTCCTGATCCTGCTGAGGAGATTGAGCTTTACAATGACACCTCCGAAAAGGGGCTAAGTTGTGTGTTAATTCAGTTGGGCAAAGTGATTGCCTATGCTTCGAGGCAGTTGAAGCCTAATGAGGAGAACTACCTAACTCATGATTTGGAGTTGGCTGCTATTGTTTTTGATTTCAAGATTTGGAGGTATTATCTGTTCGGTATGAAGTTTGCCATATTCAGTGACCACAAGAGTCTGAAGTATCTGTTTGATCAGAAGGAGCTGAACATGAGACAGAGGAGATGGATGGAGTATCTGAAGGACTACGACTTTGAGTTGAAGTACCACCCTGGAAAGGCCAATGTGGTAGCTGATGCTTTGAGTCGGAAATTCGTGAGTCTATCCAGTTTGACTATGGGTGACTGTGATATTATTGAGCAATTTCGAGATCTAACGGTGACCTCTTTGTTTGGGGGTGTATGCTTGGTCGAACCGAGAGCTGCTCGGGAATATCTTTTCAGAGAGCAAGAGTGCAGAGTAATAATCAGGATTGCCAACAGGAGCAATCTACTCTGACTAAGAGCAACCCTCTTCAACTATACACAAGCGTACGTGTCAAGCAATATAGGGTATTGTAGCCCCAGATTTATCGTCCTTAGGGAGCAGTTGTGAAGTAAGAAGCGCTAAAGGAAACTTAATTTGTAAAACGGAGCAATAAAAGAAAGTACTATTCTTAGCTAAGCTTCACAAAGAGCAATCTCTGGGCAGCTAGTTAAACAATGTTAACCATTCTGAACCAGATGAGAGCAGTGAATGACTTAGCACGGTCATCGAATAAAAAGGCATCAATTTAAGTAACTTCAAGAGCAGTCAACGAAATGAAAGTAAGAGCATCAGCTGGTAAAACACAGTTCAGTTATCGTGAGGAAAAGGTTGTGATAGAAGTTTGAGTTAAGATTAATTTCAGAAAAAGTCAAGTAGGTGTTACGGGTTCCATGTTTTCATCCCTTTGGTTAACCCTGCTTGGTAGCATATTTTACAAGTGGATTTTGCTCCTTCCCTTGTTTTGCTATAGGTAAGCAGAGGGTAAAGCCTTACTCTTCACGTTACTCCATAGTACTTGGAGTTATATGCAAGGAAACCATGCTGCCTTCTCAAAAGAGCATGGATTCACATGGCAGTGCTCCATATTCTAGGTGTTTCTCCCTCCTTTCTTCAGGCTAAACTACCCCAGGATCTTGAGAATGCTCCACACGCCTTTGTCAGTGTTTGATCAACCGAGTGGTCCCGGGATGAGGTTGCCAGCACAAAGGGTTTCACAAAATCAATAAAATAAACCAAAGAGCAACTCAAAATTCATTTATAAAATGTGTTCCTGACAAAGTTA